CAGGCCACATCTCAGAAGAACACAACCACTCTTGCACACTCAGGTATGGCTTGTTTGGCATCCACACTCCATCCTTGGATTATTGATTTTGGAGCCTCGAATCACATGACTGGAACTCCAGGTGTGTTTTCTTCCCTCTCTCATTGCTCAACATCAGAATCTGTTACCCTTGCTAATGGTTACACATCCTCCATTTGTGGTGTTGGTAATGTTGACCTGGACCATGTATCCCTATCCTCAGTTTTGCATGTCCCTAAATTTCCTTTTAATATTATGTTTGTTAGTAAGTTGACCAAGTCTCTTAATTGCTCCATTACCTTTTATCCCTCTTCGTGTGTTTTTCAGGATCTCAAGACAGGGATGAAGATTGGTGGAGGGCATGAAGCTAGTGGATTGTATTATCTTGATGGTGGTGGAAGTACGTCAATAGCTCTCCAATCGTCCCTCTCTCCTTTCCAGTGGCACTGTCAATTTGGTCATCCTTCACTGAAAGTTTTGAAGTCTTTGGTTCCTTCATTGAGTCATCTTTCTGTTTTGGATTGTGAGTCGTGTCAGTTGGGGAAACATCATAGTGTTCCCTTTAGTCCTATAATTGATAATTGTGTATTGAGTCTTTTTTCTTTGGTTCATTCAGATGTTTGGGGTCCTTATAAAGTGATGTCATACAATGGATATAAATATTTTGTCATTTTTGTTGATGATTATTCAAGGATGACATGGCTCTATTTAATGAAAGAAAAAAGTGAATTGTTTACCATTTTCCAAAAGTTTTATGCTAAGATTCGCAACCAATTTGGTATTCACATTAAAATTTTTCGTTTTGATAATGACCGTGAATATCTCTCTTCATCATTTCAGGACTACCTAGACCAACATGGCATTATCCATCAGACTTCATGTACCTACACCCCACAACAAAACGGGTGGCTGAGAGAAAGAATCGTCACCTCTTGGAAACAGCTCAGTCCCTCATGCATCGCATGAATGTTCCCAAATTCTTTTGGAGTGATGCAATGCTTAATTCTTTTTTCTTGGTTAATCGGATGCCCATGTCTATCCTTGATGGTCATTCCCCATTCACCACATTGTTTCCTAGTATCCGTTTCCTCTCTCTCCTCGAGTTTTTGGATGTGTTTGTTTTGTTCATAATCTAGGACCAGGAATGGACAAGTTAGATGCACGGTCTATTAAGTGCATCTTCCTTGGCTATTCTTGGACTCAGAAAGGGTATAAGTGTTATCACCCTAGCTCTCGACGTTCCTTTGTATGTGTTGATGTTACTTTCTTTGAGTTTACTCCATTCTTCTTGGGGCCTTGTGATGTTTCTTCCTCCTCATCACCTCCTCCCCTTCCTCTTCCAGTTGTGGACTCTGTTCCTCTTGTTCCCACAGTGACCAAGTCTTTGCCTCTGGTGCCACCACCTGTTGAACGACCACCGATCCATCACGTGTATACACATCGCCCACATGTACCGGCACCTCCTCCAGCTTCATCATCGTTGACAGATCCGACAGCTGTTACCACACCAGCCCCGACCCTAGTATCTGATCTTGATCTTCCCATTGCCTTACGAAAAGGTAAGCGTAGTTGTACCCTTCATCCTATTTCTAATTATGTTTCATTGACTCACCTTTCCACTTTCCATCGCCAGTTTATCTCTTTATTATCCTCTGTTGTTATACCTAAGGATGTCCAGGAAGCCCTTGCCTCTCCAGGATGGTGTCGTGCAACGGAAGAAGAACTCTCAGCTCTAGCTCATAATCATACATGGGAACTCACCACTCTTCCTCCTGGTAAGCAGGCTGTTGGCTGTAAGTGGGTTTATACGGTTAAGTACTTACCTTATGGTAGTGTAGAGCGGCTGAAAGTTAGATTGGTTGTCAAAGGGTATTCCCAAACCTATGGTATTGATTACACAAAGACTTTCTCCCTGGTTGCTAAGATTGGTTCAGTCTGTGTTGTGATTTCTCTTGTTGCGATGTATGATTGGCCCCTCTATCAGCTTGATATCAAGAATGCCTTCTTGCATGGTGATATGCTCGAGGAGGTCTATATGGAGCAACCACCGTGGTTTGCTGCTCAAGGAGAGGATGGTAAGGTGTGCCGGCTACTGAAGGCCATTTATTGGCTTAAAAAGTCTTCTCGAGCATGGTTTGGCAAATTTAGTGAGGTAGTAAAGAAGTTTGGTATGGAACAGTGCCAAGTTGACCATTCCGTCTTCAGTCATGACTCTCTGGCAGGGAAGATCCTATTAGTGGTGTATGTAGATGATATTGTCATTACCTGAAATGATTAAAATGGGCATTGACAGGTTGAAGATCTTTCTACAGGATCATTTTCAGACAAAGGACCTTGGTAAATTGAAGTATTTCTTGGGGATAGAAGTAGCAAGGTCCAAGCATGGTATTAACTTGTGTCAGAGGAAATATGCTCTTGATTTGCTTGAAGAAACAGATTTGTTAGGTGCCAAACCAGTTGAAACTCCTATGGAAACAAACACTAAGTTGAGCAGTGATATGGGTGCAGTGTTTGAAGACCCTGGCAGATACCGGCAGCTGGTAGGTAACTAAACTACCTAACCATCACTCAGCCAGACATTTCATTTGCAGTTAGTGTGGTAAGTCAGTTCATGCAAAAACCTCTGGTTCCACATTGGGATGTGATTATAAGGATTGTGAGGTATTTAAAGGGGGCTATGGCACATACTACTTGTGAATCAGTGTGGCTAAGGGACCTTCTACAGGAGATGGGGTACACTGTTGATACTCCAATGAAGCTCTACTGTGACAATCAGGTTGCAGTACACATTTCCTCTAATCCGGTGTTTCATGAGAGAACCAAACACATAGAGGTTGACTATCACTTTGTTAGAGAGAAGGTGTTGAGTGGAGTGATAGACACTACATATGTCAACACAGGGAATCAGTGGACAGATTCGTTTACTAAAGGGTTGAGTCGAGGGAGAGTGGACTACATATGTAACAAGCTAGGATTATATAATATATACTCTCCAGCTTGAGGGGGAGTGTTAGTGTCGAGTATGTAGGGGTAATCTTGTCTTTGTGCTTGTTTTTTTTTTTATCAATAACACTTTCATTAAATCATCAGTAGAAAATTTACAGGAGGAAGACAAACACACTTATCTTCCAAGAGCCACAAAGAGCCTCATAAAAGGAAAAAAGAAGAAAAAGAGAAAAGAAGACACTAAAGTTACTTAGCCCAAAACAGTGAATCCCTTTCTGCCCCTTGTTTAGCTAAACCGTCAGGTAGG